CTCAGTCGGACCATTAAAAAACCATCGAACACGAGCATTATGAAATATTTTTTAAGAGGGCGCCCTAATTATAAAGCGCCAGCGCCAGGTACGTGTCCTAAGGACGAAAAGTAAAAACATATTTTCCACAATTATATAACCCAACAAAGGAAGGGAAAATATTTTCCCTGACGTTGTCAGCGAAAACAAATTCATAATGTTGTTTATTTGCTTGGGCAGAGAGCGAAAGGACCTCGAAAGGACCAAAAGGAAACCCAAGTGAGCACGAGATGCGGCAATAACAAAATCAATAACAATGGCAACCGCATCCCCTGCGAGTCCTCTTCTGTCCTTCTCCTTTGTCACGATCAATTTGTATCGTGTCGGCGCGTGTTTGCCATTTTGTCCTGTTTACCTTGCCACGGCCAACTATCTTCTTACCTGGTTTCCCAGGATGGGAAGGTCCTGTACCTGAACGAACGATCGGCAAATGGCAGCCGTCTGCGGCTTGGTCGCTCGATTAGCGCTGATCAGTGCGGCTTAATCGTGGCTTCTTGACAGTTTCCAATACAAAGTCTATTTAAATAGGTTCAATTGCTGTTTTTTGTTTGTTTGTTTGGTTGTGGGAAAAACTTTCAACAGCCGCTGCAAATGTGCACGAAATATGTTCACCTATTCAAGTATTAAGTCGGGAATTGTTGCATTTAATCCCTTTTACCATTATTACTTAATGTTAGCTTAAGTGTTTACTTTTATTCCACGTGGCATCTAGTTGTTGACTCTTGAAATTGGATGATCAAGCAACATTAATGTAAAAAATATATTCAAAATATTTAAAAATCTAAGCATCAAATTATTTATGAATGTATTTTTTAACACCTAAATATACAAATTAAAAAAATAATTGTAAATGGAGTACAAATATTATATATTCTTAATTTTTTAGTAACTGTTCTGAAAATATTAAAAAAATTTGGTTCTATCATTTTTTCATTTTTGTATCTACGTCCAGCATCTGCAGATAACACGAAACAATTGAGTTGGTTATGGGTTGCATTAAAAGAGTGTTAAAGACATGTTCTCAATAGCCCTTAAATGAGTTTTGATAAGAGAACTTAAGGGTAGGCCGCCCGCCACTTGAATTGGAATCCTATGCAGAGAGAGAGATCTCTTCGTTTTATTGTAGGATTTTTATTCGAATGCCTACCACATAACGATGCTGATAATTGGCGCTTAAGAAGTCAAACGACTTGTATCCAAAGATAGGGGTTACGCACTCAACCAAGAGCTCGGCTTGAAATGGATCCGTGGCGTATTGGATTACGAGTGCAATATTTATGGCCGCGATGTACACGAAAATATTAAAAATGCATAAATACATCGGCACCCAAACTGTGGACGATGATCGTCCTGATATGTGAGACACTCGCCACAGTTGACACTTGTTTGAAGGGGAGTGGAGCGGGGAACCTGCCCCGGACAACCCATTTTCGAACACCATAAATATGTCAAAACATTTTTAAGCCAAACTTTGTTCCACAAAATCCTATAATTCGTGCATACGTGTGCGGTTCGTTGTGGTCTCGTGGGATATACAAATATACGAATGGCTCTGTTTGAATTGTCCCTCTGTGGTTTTACTAATGCCCCGGGTACTACAAATATAAAACTTATTAAACGACTTTTCGCCATAAACAATGGGCATTCGATATGTTTCCCTCAGAAATCCAGCGAGCTGTGGCACGGCTCATTGACGATCGGAGATCGAGTGTGAAACAGGGCACCTCCTCGCCACAGACCCACAAGATTATCCTTTTCTGAGGACTTGTAATAAATCAAGTCATTAGCATAGCATCGCCAAGGCTCTTTGGATGATTTATAGATTCGGGAGATGCCAATGAGCGCTCTTCGCGTTTGTTGGCACTCCGTTTCTCCATGAAGAATTCTTCCATCTTTAGTACTTCGAACCAGGCGGGGCACTCAGCCCTGACTCACATTATGGAGTGTATTCCACTATTCAAGTCTCGGTTTTTGAGGCCGCCTACCGTTATTTGCATTTGTGCTCAATGCATTTCGTTTATAGAGGCCCAGACTTATCGGACTTAACTAAGCATAACAATGCCAGCTTGGGGTCACAGGAGGAACTCAGCAGAGGGTGTATTCAGAAGTCAAGTGTGAGAAAGTTTCAGATGTTGGAGTTACAATCGTAAGTCTATAACTCAGGAAGCTCGGGAACAGATTGAAGTATATTTGATGTTGTTCCTTTTTAAAGTTTTTTTTTTCTAGTAAAGCTGTGGGTTTCTAGCTATACATTTCACAATGTTCTAGAATATGTTTTATACCCAGGATCTACAGTTTAAAGAACTCTCGACATGAGCGATTCGCATGTTCTGTTAAGTCTATCACCCTTGTGACGTCTGTGCCAGTTTTTCAAACTTGGCAATTAATAATTTCAAGGTTAAAGTTCCATTTTGAACCCCAGGCACATGCAGCCAACGCGCTCGAATCGAACATTTTAAAATACTTGTTTTTTCTGTTGTAGAAAAATTTGAAATTTGTTTCGTTCACGACCGAGAATGTTAAGTCAACCGAAGGCGAATATTAGAAATTTACGTATAAATAAATTAACAAATAATATAAATGAACCGAACGGACGACGAGAGGCGTCAACCTCAGTCCCCATGTGTCTAGGGAAAGGTCCGGTCTAGTTGCCCACTTCGGTCCGGCTTCGAAGCGATCCCAAGAGCACCTTATCAGCTTCGACATTTTCGTATATTTAATAACATACACTTATTTGGTTTTAATGCCCGGAAAGGTTAAGAGATTTATGTCTATGTACCAGTACTCGTGTCGCGCTATATACCATTTAAATTCGAATTTGGATTTGCCTTTGGAGCGGAAAAACTGGAGTGTCGCCCACTTTTTCAATTGACCATCGATCGTTAAAATTGTTCTCAAAATGTCTAAACAGATCGTTTGTGCCGCATATTCAAATGACGATAAAAATGCCATAAAATCGCCGACCGAGCCTCCCAAGATTCCACTCGAAAATCGTTTTACGACTCGTCCTGGTTCAAATGTAACAATTTTTTAATCAGCCATTGGAACGTAGCTCAAGTACATAGTTTTACGATCGTTTTTTGAATATTTTTTTGGCGACGTGTCTGGGGAATTGGCGAAAGGCGACGGAGCTGGAGATCCAAAGTCGCGACGAAGTCTAGGGGAAAGTCTTTCTTTAGGATTTTTCTCACGGCACGGCTCCAGAGTTCACTTGTGAAGGAGCGAGAAATGTCCTTTGCCCGGGTCCTGAAATTCAACACGCGTCTCGCTTGGATTTTAATGTTCGCCTTCTTGCCACAGGCATTAAAGTGTCTGGGTTCTGCGCTCCCCTTTCTATACGCATGTTAGTTTTAAATTTTAGAAAATTTCATATTGGTTCCTAGGCCATTCACTTATAACTCGCTCTGATTTATGCCTAAATTATTCGTTGGATTTGTATAATTAACCATGAAAAATATGAGGGAAACAGAGCTAGAGGGGAGTTTAATAATATATTTCTATTTATCAAGTGTAACTAAATTTTAAATTGCACTTTTTAATCATTCTGTGAAAAGTAACTAACAGAAATTATTGCGAACGCCAATTCCTTTTTTGTATTGTTTCCTGGATACTTTATGCATGTGAGCTTTATCTATTTTTATGAAAAATGTTACTATAACCTTTGGTATTTAGTTAATACTTATATAACATTGAAATAGTTCTTTAGATCGTTATATTTTACCAGAGGCAATAAATTATAGTGTCCAGTCATACTGAAATTGCTTTTAAATTAGCTTAGGTTTTGTGCTTGTACTTGTAGTTTGTTAGTTAACTTTGTATAAGTGTTGTTTCAATGGTTGTACTTTTATTTCGACAACATTTGAAGATAATACTGTTTATGGTTTTTAGAATTTTTAGAGTTGCTAAAATATTAAGAAGTTCAGAAATACATCATAATTGGTTTGTCCAATGTGTAAACATCTTTCACTCAGTTAAGATTAAAATAGCAATTTACAAAATATAAGCTTGTTTTCTAGTATTTTTAAAATTGTAGTGTGTACTTATTTTGCGGTCGCTGGCAACCGCCAGTCAGCCAACCACAACAACAGCAACCACAACAACACCAATCGAGCAACAGTTGAGGCCGTGGCAACAACAACAATCCGGCATGGCCTCTGCCTCGGCCTGGCCCCCACCCCTCCTCCCACTTTCTACGCCTGTTGTTGTTGCTGCCGCTGTTGTGAGAGGCGTAGCTAAAAGCAGGGAACTCGCACTTAGGGACATTGGTATGAGCGAGAGGCAGCGATCAACACCAGGGGAAAGGCAATGAGTGCGATAAGGTAGGCAGCAGAAGCAGGCGAGGCGCAAAACAAAGCCATCGACGCAGCCAGCGAAGGAAGAGAGAGGAGCCTCAGGCCAAAGAGAGGGCTCCCCAAAAGAGAGTGGGAGAGTTGGAGCTCGAAGCTCGTCAGGCATTTGAAGCTGTACATTGATAGAAAATGTTGATGTATGTTCCTAGATTTATTTAATATTACAATCAAGTGTATTACCTTGATTTGTTGTTGTTTTTGAAAAACAAACTATAAATTATTGAAAATAAGATAAATGCGTTAAAAAACAAATTATATACATATTCATTTTGTTCAAAAATATTGATCTTTATTAAAGATTTCTTGTAAAGAAACCATAAGCTTAAAATCAAAATGCTTTGGTTGATCCTTGCAAGATAGTTTTGAAAATGAATCCGATTTTATTTCTGATATTATTTACCACAGTGACTATGATTGCGAGTGGCGCTCGTATAACGGCATGTAGAGCAAAGCGCAGAGCAAACAGAACTGTAATCAATGGGGCGAAGAGGGAGAGAGGATGGATGCTCGCTGAGATTTGTTCTTGATTTGATTTTCTAAAAAACAATTTTAACGAGCTTATTTTGTTTTGCTGTTCCGTATTTCGAATTTCGAAGCGCAGTCGACTCAAATCGAATCAGTTTGTGAGAAAAACGCGCCGGACACGGACACGTACGTGGATTGCGGCGGAGAATCCGTATAATCGAGTGGAGCGCCGGGAAACATGACCAAAACAACGAAGCCCAAGGAGAAGGCGGCGGGAACGCTGGCGGGGACGGGCTTGGGGTCGGGATCGGGGGCCAAGGCGGGTGGCGGCAGTCTGCTGACAAATGCGGCGGACAGCAAGATCCGTACGGCGAAGTCCAACAACAACAAACGGCAGTCAGGACGATCTGCAGCAGCAACAGCAACAACAATCGCAGCAGCAGCAACAGGATCAAATGCAGCTGTGAAAGAGACGGCAATAGCAAACGAAACGGAGCCCGGAGTAAAGGCAGCGACGCCGACATCGACGGCGGCAGAGGCAGCGACGCCCGCCGCAGCGAATTTATCGACACTTGAGTCCGCGCGCTCGCAGGCTCACACTTCAGTTGTCAGCGAAACAGCAAGCCAAGCGGTAACCACAGCAAACGCGTCGGCAACAACAGCAGCAGCAGCAGCAGCAACACCAACAGCAACAGCAACACCGAGCGACACGGCAGCAACAATTGTAGCCGCGACCGATGATGATCATCGCAGTGCGATAAATAATAACAATCAGCCGCAGAACGACGCGAGTGAAAGTGTTGATAATAAAATCAAAGTGATAAACTATGCGCATCAGTCGGAGGATCAGCAGCAACAGCAACAACAACAGCAGCAACAACAGCATCAACATCAGCATATCTACGAGCAGCAACATTCGTTTCTCAACCAGCAACTAATAAGCCATCAGCAACAGGAGCAACACCAGCAGCAACAGCAGCAGCAACATCAAGTGCAGCAGCAACACCAGCAGGCGGTGCAGGAGCAACACCAGGCCAGTTGGTTGGCCTATGATTTAAGCACGGCGGCGGTATCAGCAGCAGCGGGAGCGGCCGCATCGCACCACCTCTTTGGCCACTACTCCTATCCGGCCGCCCAGCTCTACGAGCACTACGCCGCCAGCACGGATCCCATAATGCGGAACAACTTTACGGTGTACGGCGTTTACGGAGCCGGGGGCGGTGTGGGCGTGGGCATGGCCAGCCACGAGCACCTGGCGGCGGCGGCAGCGGCAGCAGCAGCGGCCCAGGGTCAAACGCCCAACATCGATGAGGTGATCCAGGATACGCTGAAGGATGAGTGCTACGAGGACGGGCACAGCAGCAACTATCATGTGCTGACTTCGGTGGCGGACTTGCACTCCCTCAAGGAGGCCAGTCCAGTTCCGGGGATTTATCACCTGACCAACGAACAAATCCACCAACAGCAGCAGCTCCACCACCAGCAGCAGCAACTCTACCACCAGCAACAGCAGCAGCAGCAGCAGCAACACCAGCAGCAGCATCACCACCACAACAACTCGACCAGTTCGGCTGGCGGGGATTCGCCGACGTCCTCGCACAACCTGCAGAGCTTCACCCAGCTGACCATTCCCGCCCAGCGCGACAGCCTCTCGCCGGAGAACGTCGGCTACTTTGGGGCCAGCCAGCTCAGTCCCAGCTTGCAGAACAGGTGAGTGAGTGAGTGGGTCTACCGCCGAGCAATGAGCTCACTATCACGAAGCGGGCGGGCGCACGTGCCTTTCGCCCGCTTGGCGACACCGTTAAAAGTCATGATCGGAGCACCGATCAGCGATCAGCGAACAGCGATCACCTAACAGAGAACAGAGAACAGAGCACCGCGCCGGCTGATTCATATTTCTCCCGCCTTGGCGCGATTTTCCGGGCGGAATGACGAACCCCACACGGCACACAAACCATAATTGTGGCTCATTGTTTCAAAGCTCAGTCAGTCGTTGGTCTCCTTTTACTCCTCTCGCACTCAAAAGCCAAACTCATATCCAAACACACAGAAAACCAAACACATTCGGTTATGGTTATGGCACTGTGGCATTCTCAGGTGGTTTGCTCAATGTGTGGAATGCAAAAATCTGTTCCACTTGCATTTGGCCAGCTAGTTAGTTGGGCTCGAGGAATGTGTTTCCAGCGGGCAAACAAAAACATAAACAAAACACAGTTGTGCTTTCGATTGCAAATGTCTCATGGGAAGAGCATTCCAGTCAAGAATGAAAATTTTAAAATTATGTGTAAAATATATAAAGGGTTGTACTCTACGTTTTCCGTTCGAAGTTTATTTATAAAAAAAAAACTCAGATTGAATCTTCGTTTCCGTATCTTTTTTTGCTTTTTCATCTCGCAATCTTTCCAATCTTTTTTTGATGTTTTGCGATATCTTCTTCGAAGAGATGAATTCGTTCGGCTTCGATTAGTAAAACTAACCTTGTCCAAGATCAAAATAAACAATAAGTGAGAATAAATACAAGTTTTGCACTTGGCCTTTTTAGCGTCGGCTGAGTCTTTCGCCGAGAAATCTCCTCCCAGCTCGAGAATCAGCAGAAAAATACACAAATTGCCGGTCAAATTTCGTAAACAAGAATATGCAATGTCTTTATTATTGACGCATGGCTTTTCTGACTCATGAGTTTTCCCGTTGGGGATCTTAGTCCAAGCTGAACAAATTTACAAATTTACCCCGCAGATGCAGGAGTTTTGAATGGTTGACTAAGTTTCCAACTAGGCTTTCGACCAGCATGAGATGGTTAAAACCGCACGTGTCCAGGTTGTTGCCACTTTTGGCTACAGACCAGCACGTGCCACAAACAGTGGCAAGTTAACTACAAAATAAAAATAGAAAAAATAGAAAAAGGGGGCGTGACCCGCATTTGATCGAGCAGTCGAAACTCGGCGACTTTTCAGAGCCCAAAAGCAAACGCAAATTGCAATTGTAGCGCATTTTTCTAGCTTGTTTTGGGTATTCGGTTGCAAGTTCTATTGCTTGGTGTGAGGACACCTTTCGAGTGTGCGACTCTTTGAGGGTTTGGGGTAACCCAAGCCCATCCCGTGACATGGAAACCCCCGAGCGAAACTCAAACTCGGGCATGAAGAAGCAGCTTCAAATGCCTCGAAGACTCAACTTTTTCAGGGTATCCGCTGCTGATTCAGCAACCAGCGAGTTGAAGTTGCACCTTGAGTGGTTGAGGTACGATGGGTGCATTGGGGTAATTCTAACGATCGGTGGGAGGCAGCGGACCCAACGCACCCGCACATTGTCGATCTCATTTTACCTTACTCCGTTCGCTGGTTTACTATATTCGTTTTCCCTACATTTGCACAGCACTCGGTTTCGGTTCTATTTGTTGTTTGCTTCATATGTTGTGTTATTTAAATTGAAAACGTGTTTTGCATATGTATATAAATACAGGCATGAATGCACATCTAGTTGAAATACATCAAGTGAAAAATGTTGAATTCGAAAAGGGAAACAAAAAATAATATATATTTGAATAGGTAAATTAAGTAAGAGCTTTAAAATAGGGAGACCCCTTTCAGGAAAAACACTTTTTAGTGTTAGTACAAATTTTTAAAGGAAGATAAAATATATTTTTATTTATGTAAATATATTTTCACTTAAACAAATAGTTTTTCCCATTATTCCCATCCACTTCTCCAACTTTTTTTTGACGGTTTCGCATAGTCGGAAATATGCAGTTGTATATCTGGTAACAGAACAGCGCTGCAGCTCGATGATCTCAAGCTGCTGGCAGCTCGGCGTTTTGTATGTGACTTTTTGGACGGTTTCGCTTCTGTGGCAGCAAGAAACCAGAAGAAGATATCACGCTGCTGGCCAGCTCACATGCCATTTTCGCCATACATACGTATGTGAAAAACAAGAAGCCAACGCAGAATACTCACCTGCAACAAACAACGACAGCAATAACAACAGAAATGAACTGCGGCGGTGATAAATTCGTATCGTTGTCGTGCATTTTTTGTTGTCACTCAGACTTCCTATATAGTGCAGCTCTATATATGTATATATACCATATTAGCTATAGCTGGGGCATCTCGGGCGGGAAATACGGTCGCTGTTATCGGAGAGCGTGCGCATCTAGCCGAAAGACTTGGTCATATAAATTCTGGCAAAACAAAGAGCAAATTATTTGCAAGCCGTTTGTTTGATAATTGAATATGTGCATTCAGATATGATATTTCTTTTTTTTCGGTTGTTCGGTTTACTCTGCCTCTTTATCGCATTGTGTGTGTGTAATGACTGGGATTTCTTTTGGGCCAACAGTCACTGCAACAATAGCAATTGCTGCAGCAGCAGCAGCAGCAGCGGCGGCGACAACAGCAACTTCAACTGCAACTGCAACTGCATTGGCATAAAACTAAACCCGACTCAAGTCATTATGCAAACGCGCGTGCCCCGATTCGGTTGTGCTTTCTTCTCCATCTCCGTCTCGGTCTCGATCTCCATCTACATCTCCGTCTCCAGCTTCCTCCAGAGAACCAAGCCCGAAACAAAACTGAAAACTAAAAACATAAAACTAAAATCCGAAAGCTGAAATGAAAATAAATCAAAAACGAAAATGAAATCGCTAAAGCTGAGCTGAGCACTTCCGCGTGTTTCCTGTGTTGCTGTTCGAACATAAATAGAATATTGTATAGAATTTTGCAAAAAAGGGTTGTACTAGACGAGAATTAATTGATTTAGTTCGATTTTTTCAATGTGCTATCTTGCTGGTTGTGAAGTTTTAAAGTGTGCACCTGTAAAAGCGGAAGCTCAAAAACTTTTATCCTTTTTTTTTATAATCTCTTCATGATCGATGGCCCAAACAAACTTTTGCCAACGCAGCAATTATCTCCTCCCGTTTTTGTTTAAAAAAAAGTCTTTCCGATTTGAAGAATAATATTTGCACAGGCTTCTGTTAACTGAGGCTAACAAATAAAAGATTACGTATAAGTTCGGGGTAAACAAAACTGCCAAACACTTTTATTCGTTAATTAAAAGTTTTATGGCCACACCCACACAGCCACAACTGCAAACATGCCAAAAACTGGACGCTGGTGGTCCGCCAACAGCAAAAACAACTCATTCTTGTAAAGTAAACAATAGCCAGGAGATTTTAATAGCGTCTCGTTTTCCTAACAGTGACAGTGCGACCTTAACAGCGGACTTAACAGCAGCAGCGGCTAAAAACGCCACCAAAACGCGCACAAATGTGTGCCTAGCGTTTTTAAACGCCTGAACATTTTTCGTTTATTTCGGCCACTAAATAAAAAGAATATACTGTTAAAATGTTCTTCTCAAATTACAATAATATGTATTTGAAGAACTATTGCTATAGGTAAAGATATTAAGGGGAAATATAAATATTAAAAAAAGGGGAAAATCGTACGAAACAACTTTATTGTTTACGATTTCACAAAATAAAAACAAACCTAAAGCATGTTGAAAAGGGATACTGGATAAACAATTTTTAAGTTTGCTTTCGAAGTGTAATTTTTAAAACAAAAACTTAAAATATTTTTAACTAAAGATAACATTATATTTCTATGGCCTGATGCTAAATTGTTCTTTTTCTCCATTGCAGCTCTGTTTATGCTGGGTCCTTGCTCACCCAGGCGGCCAATGGCATTCAGTACGGGATGCAGTCGCCCAACCAGACGCACGCCCACCTCCAGCAGCAGCACCACCAGCAGCAGCAGCATCAACAGCAGCAGCAGCAACACCAGCAGCACCAGTTGCAGCAGCAGCAGCAGCAACACCACCACCAGCACCACCACAACTCCGGCAGCAGCAGTCCGGGGCCAGTGGGTCTGCACCATTCGAGTTCCGCGGCAGCGACGGTGGCAGCGGTTGCGGCGGCAACGGCGGCGGTCAACGGGCACAACAGCTCCTTGGAGGACGGCTACGGATCGCCGAGGAGCAGCCACAGTGGTGGTGGGGGCAGTGTGGGGGGAGGGGGCGGTGGCACTCTGCCGGCCTTCCAGAGGATCGCATCCGCGAGCAGCGGTTATGCCAGTGGCGTGCCCAATGGTTCGGTCAGTGGCGCCGAACGCTACGCTCCAATGGCCAATTATCGCAGTCAGGTGAGGGTTTCTCCTTTGCCTTTTTAGAACCCTTTCTTAACCTTTTTTTTACCCTTTTCTATTCCTGCAGAACGACGTGTGGTACGACCAAATAAGCTACGCCTCCGCCGCTTCTGGCCAAGGGCAATTGGGAGTGGGAGTTGGAGCCGGAGTGGTCACCAATGTGATACGGAATGGAAGGGCCATCTCGGCGGCAAATGCAGCAGCCGCAGCAGCAGTGGAAGGAACCACGGGTCGCATGGATCCCGCTTTCCTCTCCGCCTCGGCATCGTTGTCAGCAAGTGAGTTTCCATTTCAGAAATAAGCATTTACAAAGAGAATTAGTCTAGTCCATGCGCTCACCAAAAGAACACACACTCAAGCCAAGATCCTTTCCGTTTGTTTGCCCTGCTTTTCTGGGGCAGAAATGGAGAGGGTTTTAGGTAGAACTTCGCACTCACACAAGGCGAGAAGGAAACCAAGTTATTTGCATAACCTGAGTAAACCGAAAAAACTGGGCCATCGGAAATGGTGGCCAACTGCAAGCAGCTGTTGTCATTTGCTCATTTACTATATATATTTGCTCTTAGTTTTAAGCTACGTCTCTATAATAAATTCAATTAATTTTATTTCAACTCTTGAGATAAAATCAAAGAAACAAAAACACCACAAAAGCAAAACCCATAGAGATACAAATCTAAATATTAAACACACACAAAAACAAAACGCAAAACAGCAAACATTCCAAATCAAACAAACACCTAGCAAAAACCTTATGACTTATTCCGATATTTCTATGTCAATCTTTGAAGCATTATTCGATGCCGATTATTTCACTGAGGGGCGAGAATGTGTCAATTGTGGTGCGATTTCAACCCCATTATGGCGACGCGATAACACGGGACACTATTTGTGCAATGCCTGCGGCTTGTACATGAAAATGAACGGCATGAATCGACCCCTAATTAAACAGCCTAGAAGATTGGTAAATGTCTAAAATCATCAAATCAAAAAAAAAAAAAACCCAAAAAATTCCAACTACCAGCAATTATTACTAACCAATCAAAACGAACGAACGCTTTTGTGTGGAACAAAATTTCTGTGTGCGAACTCAGTGTTTAGAGTGGGTAGAGAAACTTATAGAAATCCGCATCCGCCAGCCTCAGCACCACCACCACCACCACCCCCTTATCCGCTCCCAAGAGAGTGAAAAAATTAATTGAATTTATTATTTATTACCAAATGCAAATTAGTTTAATATGCGAACAAAACAAAAAACAACAGCGAATTGAAAAATCGAAAAACCAATCTGCTTCTTGTGTATTACAACCAACAACATTCTGATTGCTCAATTCCAGTGGCCGCTGAATCAGGCGGGGATTTCTATAAGGCCAACTCATTTAATGTGGGCGGCGGTGGCCGTAGTAAGGCCAACACGAGTGCTGCCGCCGGCGCGCAGGCCTACGGCTCCTGTCCAGGCGCAAGTGCAACCTCGGCCACTTCGGCGGTGGCGTCCGGAACGCCGGCGACTGCAGCGACGACGCTCGACGAGCACGTTAGTCGCGCCAATTCGAGACGCTTGGTAGGTCGCCCATTAATTACCGATACCGAAACCAAAAAAAAGCAAAACCTAAAAAAAAACCAAACCAAAACCCAACCAATCAACCGAAACCAAGCCCACTAACCGAGGAATGAGAGTAGACCAAGTAGAGCCACTAACCTAGCCAAGAATCGCTGCTAACCACTCTAGACTAACCCGTGAACCCCATTAGTTATTTAAACCCTGACTTCCCCGGCCAAAAAGTGTTGCCATAGAAAACGTTGTTCCACACGAAAAGCTTCCGCTGTTCTCCAGTTCTCAGTGTCTAATCCGTTGACTTCTTGCCACATCTAGAATGCCACAAAGCGCGCCGGATTGTGCTGCTCCAACTGCCAAACCACCCACACTTCTCTGTGGCGCCGCAATCCCGCCGGAGAGCCCGTTTGCAACGCCTGCGGATTGTACTTCAAGCTCCACAATGTCTCCCGACCGCTGACCATGAAAAAGGATACCATACAAGTGAGTAATCATCGATTAAAAATAATAATTAAGGTGTAGATTTCGTGCGTTTAAAATTATTTAAAAATATATGAAGTTAAAAAAAAGTTTTATCCAATATTATTACCTTGTAGTTTTTGTTTACTTACTTTTTTTATATTTTTGCTAAACTGTAGGTACTTAAGTGTTTTTATATTAGAATGCTTATCCAGTTCTTAATTTCTACATATTGTAATTTGACTTTATTCGATTGCACATAAAACATGTAAAGTAAAATGTAGCAAAATAGTAAAATGTCTGCAATTTCAACCCTTTCAGAAACGCAAACGCAAGCCGAAGGGCACGAAGAGCGAAAAGGGGAGAAAGTTGAAGAACGCCTTGAATGCCACAATGGAGAACGGTTCCCTGGCGACGGTGTCCCACATTGGTGGTGGCATTCGCACAGATGGCAGCCAAATGGGTGCCGATGAAGGTAAGTTGTAGTAACACATTCTTAACTCCATTTGCATGCCTAATTCGTGTCGTTTGCTTTCTTCTCGTTGTTCCACCACCACTTCCTTCGCTCACCTGGTCAGATATGAAACCACAGCTCGACCTGAAACCATACAACTCATACTCATCGCAGTCGCAGCAGCAACATCTGCAGTACCAGCAGCAGCAGCAGCAACAGCAACAACAACAACAGCAGCAACAGTTGCTAATGGCTGATCAGCACTCATCGGCGGCCAGTTCGCCACATAGCACGGGTTCCTCCTCATTGTCGCCATCAGCCACATCACATTCGCATTCCCATTCCCATTCGCTTTCGCATCAGCAGCAGCAACTTTGCTCCGGACTCGACATGTCCACCCTCAACTTGCATCAGCAACATCAGCAGCAGCAGCAGCAATCGATCAGCATGCAACATTCGCCTAGCACGCCCATTTACAACACCCCATCGCCCACTCATCAGCTCCACAACAACAACAACAACAATAGCACGCTCTTCAACAACAACAACACGCTGGTAAATTAATGTTCTACATCTAAGGGGGATTTAAATGCTGGATAAATAAGATAATACTTTAAATCAATTGATATTTAACAAATGTTCAAATCAATTTTTGAGTGGGATTGATAAACATTAACTCGAATTAAACTCATTTACTCTGATTTATACATTTCATTAACAAAACTTTGTATAATGAATTTCAAATCTTTGGTTTGTTATTTTTAAAGCTTGTTATTTTACTAATCCATAAAAATATCTTACATTGGAAATACCTCAAAGTGAAGAATTATAAAATCATGCAATTAAGAGGCAATATGTTGCAGTTTTTTATTTAGATTTATTTAGTGTAAAAATGAATGTACATTTCTAATTCGATTACCATTTACAGAAATATCTGCAGGCGCAGCAAATGAGCAGCAGCGGCTCCAGCAGCGACCATCAGTTGCTGGCGCACCTGATACCGAACTCGATTACGGCAGCTGCGGCGGCAGCAGCGGCAGCGATCAAGACGGAGGCCCTGTCCCTCACCTCGCACGCCAACTGCTCCACACCGTCATCGGGAGCGGGGGTCACCTCAACACCGACCACGGCATCGAGCACATTATCCTCGCTGAGCAACAGCAACCTTATTAGCCTGCAGAACCCGTACCATCAGCTGGGATTGGAGCAGGCACTGTGCAAACCAACTCGGCCATCGCCACCGTACTATTTGACTCCGGAGGAGGATGACCAGCCGGCGGCCATCAAGCTGGAGCAGATGGACCAGCCGCAGCAGCAACAGCAGCAGCAACAGCAGCAGCAACATGATGAACTAATGCTCAGCCGATCCTCCTCGTTGGACGAGCACTACGAACTGGCCGCCTTCCAGCGACAACAGCAACAACAGCAGCAGCAGCAACATCTGCAACAGCAACAGGCAGCTGCTCTTTTGGGGCAACACGAGCAGCATGTGACCAACTACGCCATGCACAAGTTCGGAGTGGAGCGGGAAACGGTGGTGAAGATGGAGTAGCTGGCAGACGCCAAGTAGCTACTGCCTGGGACCATGACCAAAGATTCTGTTGTTACATTAATCTCATAGCTCCAAAGAATTTATAGCCCTTAGTCGCCCGTATACCAAGAGCCGTTCTACAAGAACTCTCGAATAACGAAATCAAAACGATCGCATCATTAGTTGTACATACAAGACATACGGTTTAAGCCAGTCAATTGACATTTCCATTTTCGGCGAATTTGAATCGTCAACTACTCGAAATTTGTTATCAAAAACTAGTTTAATTCTTAGCAAAATCGATTCAGAGCCTAGGTTAATACTAATCATTTAAATTTGTTATCAAATCGAATACCTTTTGAGATTTCTTACAATCAAATTCCACTTAGATATTAGATATTATTTGTAGATAAGCCAGCAAACAATGACAAAAACCGAAAAAAGACATCAAAATCAAAAAGAATCGAAGTAACCAATAATCTCATGCAGTTTAGCTAGTAATTTATATATTTGTTATGCAATTATCGATAAATATTTAAAGAAATTTAAGTTTTTAGTCTATAACATTTTACATCATCTTTGCAATATTAATTTTATTTCTTTTGAGCGAATAAAAGACAATTGTCATGAATTTTCCCAAAAATAAAGTTTTTTGGTAGATAATATAATAAGCCAACAGGACGTATGTGTAATATAATTCATTTTCTTTTTTAGTGTTGGTAAGTAAACGTTTTTCCTATTGTTCTACATAAACCTAAAAGTCTGCACTAGTATTTTCGAATACCATATTGGCCCAAAAAGTTATGCTACAAATTTTGGTAGCATATGTAATGTAAAGTAGTCAAGTAAAGTAGCATAGTTATCTACATAAGAACAAAAACAAATGTGTAGTGCTATTTTTCTGCTTTTTTTTTAAATTTGTTAATTAAATTTATTAAGTGTAAAAATGAAGGGAGTAAATGTAAATTTTAAAATGTTAAAATTAGCGAATTATGAATGAAATTCAGCTGAATTAAAATAAATTCGGAAAAAATCTAGCTAAATTGGTATCACTGTTGAAGATAGCGTAGCATTTTTACGCTAAAAGTAAACCATATTTTATTACAACTTGACCCCTCAGTTAAATACAAAAAAAAAACACTATTTATATAGGTACTTATTTAAGATAAATTCTAACAAAATTTTTTTATTTTTCTTTTTTTATTCTCCAAATTTTATTTTCGGTAAAAAACCGTTTTCTGAGAATTTAAATTTGTTTGGTGGGTGTGTAGAAGATTTAGATAAGGTTTAGAATTTCATGGTTATTGAGAGTTACAGAGAGTTACTACAAATGTTTAGAATTTAATTGAGCTGAAAACTTAAAATGAAAAAGAGCTCTGGCCCCAATTTGTACCCACATTCTGGAATTCAACAATTTCAGTCAGGAACAAAACAATAAAGCAAAGTGTGTTTGTATCTCATGTGGTGGGGGGATGAACGGGGAGGGAGAGTGTATATATATGTGTGTGTGTGTGTGTATTATATTATTTTGTGCGCCGCCATTTACGAAAGCGACATTTTCAGTGATAAGATAACGGCACATTGCTGGGTCCCCTCCTTTCTGTCTCTCTGTCTCTGTTCCTCCCTCTTCCATTACCCCCTCACTTTCCCCGCCTCCCTCTTGCTCTATTTATATTTTTCGCTCTATTTCTTTTTTAATAAACTTTTAGTACGTCGGTTGGTGTTGTGTGTTTTTTTATGGGAGTCACGCGTTACAAAACGACAACAGCAACAAAATCTGAAAGTCATTTCATGTGGCAAAACAGTTTTTGTTTATTGCTAGGGTTGTTTGCTCGCCGAGGGCGGGGATCCACAAAAGGGAGGGTCCAAAGGGGTGCTGGCTGGCAATGGCTGTTGGTGGGTGGTGGATGGTGGGTGGAAGTGGGAGGCAGGTGCGCCTGGCTACGTGACTGTACAAAAGTGCCGCATGTCGTTGAAACAGCTCGTGCACAACTCAAGTGATTGATACCGCTTCTGATTAGCCGCGAAATGAAGTCCATCCAAATGAAAATATTCATGTTGATAAATGCTTTTGGGCCTCTAAATTAATTCTTAGCCTTTTAAAAATGGTGTTGCTTTCTTCCTTTCTTCTGATAAGTGTTGTGGCTGATATAGAAGTGATATCTGTTCTAATCGGTCATTGCACAGATCTATTCGCAAAACTTTCACTTCAGAGATTGCTAGTTTTTTTTTTGGCGCCTCGCTTGGTTTCCATTATCAAAGCTTTTGGGCAAACAATAGTATGATAGCCTTGTCTTGCACGATACCAAACCATGCGCGATAAGATAAAGTATTTCTATGTTTTCATTCCGCATCTTTTCGGAACCATTTCCCAACATAACGATTGCTTTGAGTTCCCTCCTTTAATTTTTGGGAATATCCATATCCAAATGATATACATAACTGCACGTACTGTTTATGTGTCATACTTTATTAAAACTTAGTGATAGCACAGTAAAATTGTGGCCCATAAATAAACACACATTGTATTTAAGTAACCCTAATTTGCTAAGCCTTGGCAACTTTGAATCATTGTTTGGTAAGCATTAGGCTGAATTTGTTGACTCTAATTTTATAAGAGCTTAGATTTTTATGTTTGCTGCTAGCAAACAAGGCAGTTATTTGTTTACAAACTAGGCTAGATGTATATATGTATACTATCTAACTGCGAATCAAGCCCATAGCTTTTTTGGCTGAACTACTGATTAAAAAAACCCTAACAGATGTTGAGTCAAAACATGTATTTTAAAAATATTTTTGAAACCAGTTAATTCCGAATCCAAATTTTAGCTAAAAATATTGAGGGTTTTTTTTTTGCTTCAACTACCCAAAATAGCTTTTTAAAATATATATATATTTTTTAGATTAAATATTTCAAATTTTTAAAAATATTTTTGTTAAATCACTTTATTCCGGATGCAAAATTATATCTAAACTTTTTTAGGTTTTTTTCGGGTTCATCCACAGCTAAATCCGTTGAATTTCAAGAAATGATAAACTGCTGGATAAAGTTATGTTGAATTTGTTTTTATCACTGAACACTTAACACTGGTACCGAGATACACCAAGGAGAGATATAGAAATCGGAAGCGGATATTAATGTTTCGAAATTCACTGGGTTTCTCCCACACTAAGTTACATATTTAAGGCATAAAAATTGTTTGTAGATTAGTAGATTGGTTGTGTTAGGTATGCCTGAATCTGACAAAAGTTGCAGTGGGCTTTACTCTCAGTCCTGTTGGTTGGTTATACACATTATATATCCTCAGCTTTTGCGTATTTGTTGCACACACTTGTCGTCCGTAATTTACGATGCTCGGCCTCCCGCTCGACATTTTATGGGTCTATTATTTTATTAGACGCTTTTCGTTTCGTTACTCATTTCTATTTTGCGCACTTTTCTGGTTTGTCACTTTACGATCTGGCTGCTCTCGCTTCAATGTTATAGCTCATCATTATGATTATTATTAATTTATAATTGCGACACGACGAATCGGCTGGGAACGGAGCGCGTTTTAATGGAAAGTGCAAAACTTACTGTGCCAGCCACGAAATAACCACACTCGGTAAGATATCTGAGTATATATGATTTTTTTACATGCCCATTCCATAGATAGGCAATCTGTATCTGTGGCACGATAATGCTTATAAATAAGATAATATGATTTGATAATGGTATTTACCATATGCAGAAACCGAAGTCGCAAGGCGGCTCAGCTGAGTTGTGTAAGTCGCCTGGAGTTTCTGCTTTTTATATCCCTTATATAATGCATAAGAAATTCACGGGTTTCCCTGAGTTGCGGTGCACCTAATTAAATGTTTGACATCTGCCTGATTTTTATTTAGCATGAAAATGCTGAAACGTGTAGGTATACCATATGTATATAGAGGTTCAGGTCGCATTCGGTTGAGGCCTGAGTTGTGCAAACAGATTGCATTTAGAGCAGTCGAGAAACCCCCACCTCCCCCACATTTTTCACCCTGAGCTCCGCTGTTCTTTCTGTTTGTTGTTGACTTGACTGCTTTTTGATGTCTTCTTCGGTTGGTTACGTTGCTGTTTCTGCTTTTTTTTTTGTTGTCGAGGCCTTATCGCCAACTGACGTTTGTACTTCAGAATGTGTACTTAAGATAGTAAAAATGAGGAAGAAGCAGCCGGGTCTCGGAACGAAATAAAGGTGGCCACATATCCACATCAGCAGCAACTCAAATGGAAAAGTCACAGAATGTCAATGCTTTCCAATTTGAACTTTATAGAACTTTAAAACACATTCATATACATATATAATATGTCTGCAGTCATAGATCACTTGACTGGATAAGATCGATCGGATCTTTTTTTTCGGACTGAAAACTGCACCTCATTGCCGATTTCTTGGGAATTGTTTTTTGTGATGGCTTTTGCCTTTGCTTTTGGCGGTATCAGGCAGCAGTTAATAAGCATATTCTAATCTAATCAGCGGATCGTTAATTAACTACCCAGGTTGACTTTCGCTTTCTCAAGTGTTACTTGAGCGCTGCTTTGGCAGCTGGAATTTATACACAAGGCTGCCAATATCTTATCGACGAGCCAAAGATCAAATTTTCAATTCCCGAAAGACACGCGAAAAATTCCACAATTCCTAGGAAGCACTTATATAAATGGCTGATTTCGCCAAGTACACTTTCCGTGGATTGATGATAATCCAAATATCCGTGAATTAACTATATTTTTCATCACACTATTTCACATTTTTTTTATAGATTGTTAACCTTTGTATTTGGACCGTTTTACAGTTTTTTTCGGGACGAACGCGCTGAGGCAATGTTTCCATGTTGAAAATCCCAGTTACACTCACCAACTGTGATTAGATTCCATGCCGCTGGGCGTCCAAACTTAAGGAATTACTGAAAAATTCAAATTATTATCGCTTATTATCTTGGGACATTATCAGTTCAAACACTGATATACTGATACAGGCCGCGAGAGAGAGCCATGCCCAGAACCTGGAAACAGAACCTGAAACAGAACCTGAAACCCCCGCCCAAACTGGAAATGGAACCTTAACTGCCTGCAGATACCCCAAACTGATACCGATATCCTACCAACAACAATAACAACAATAATAATAACAACAGTCGGCCAATTGATAGCAAATCTTCATTATCTTATAAATACGGCTGCATTGGTGGTCGTGTATCGCTAAAAAGCCAAGATTAGATACTTTTATCTAGCTGGGTCAACCCCGTCCCCATCCCCATTCCCATTCCCCATTCCCCATTCCCCTGTGTTCCCCCCAAAGAAATTGGCGACGTCACGGATACAGATAGAGTTTCCCCCATTATCGGTTAAGCAAATTCCCAGTTCCACCGGGATGTTTGTCCAAATGGAAGGGCAAAGTGGAGGGGAGTGGAGTGGAGAAGTGGGTTAAGTAGCCGCCACCGATTGACTTGCGATATCGGTTTGTTTCGCGGGGGGGCGGTTTGTGTATCTCTGCTGGCCGAAATCTCTGTTAAGATACGTTAACTTATCTAAGGCCACTATCTATTCTCAGATATTCGATATGTCTGTATTAGAGGCGGCGACGATAGGAAAAATCGCTTTGGTTGATAGGAGCAATCAGCGGGTGTGCAACACCCAGCGGAGTTTTTCATTTCATTCAAGCATTTCCTCCGTCCGCCGTGAAAAAGTCACATCGTTTTTAGTTTTATTCGATCCAAATCGGTGGCAACGAAAATCTAACCATAAATACATATATCATGGCTAAAGCGCACTTTGGAAATCATTCGAGGTTTCAGTACAGTCAGTTAACAAAACAACAAAAAAAAAAAGAGAAAAAGCGAACAACAAAATGTCAGCGCTCATAAGTAATAAATAATGTTTCTATGCGTTTTGGGGTCGCTGGAGTCGTCAGTTAACCAGCTACCTAACCGAAAACGAACCCCAAATCGAAACCAAAAGCCATACCATACAATGCCCACTCCAAGTGGCGATCCCAATCAACCCCAGTAGCCATGATTGTTAACGTTAATGGCGTCGATGTTGTTGCTGTTGTGGCCGCCTCACCCTCTTCCCACGTCTCGTTCTGGCCAGGCCAAAACAATGCCTGGCAGCGAGCAGCTCTCGCGGATTATTACGGATTGCCAGCAATGATGATGATTCACAGCCTGGGCCCCATTGGCAAACAAAGGTGCGTATTCCGACTCCGAACAATCAACAATCGCGACAGCCTCGCAGCGAAGACGCTACTGCCAATCGCAAGAGGCTATGTACTCGGGGAACCTGAATCTGAATCTGAAAGTGATATATTTTGACACCGAAACATATGTTAATATGAGTTTATGGCATAGTATATTATGGTTTGATTATCATCTTCTAATCAAAATTCATACCTCCATTTCGTTTTTCAACAGAAAAGAAGTTGATTTCAAATCAAAATTAAACCTAGAAGACTTTCTTTACATTTAATCGACATTTTAGGAATAATTACTTATATTAAAATACGATAAATAACAATTACTGTAAGTTTAATATAAAATAGTGCTTGAAGGCATTATATAAAATACCAAAGCGGTTTTAAATATTTCTTATTAAATATATAAAAAATATAAACTTATTAAAGTTATAAAAAAGGGCAATCTCCTCATCAGAAATAAATAGTTATTGGGAGAAAAACTTTAATATCTTTTGGATTTCTGTATGATCTCAAATTGCTAAGTTTCCAAATTTGTTTAGTCAATGGCAACCAATTTGGTCAAATTTAACAATTTTAATAATTTTTGTGAAAATATCTTAAATATTTTCGAAATGATATTACTTGCAATGCGTTGCGTTATCTCCATTATTTGGAAATGTGGAGCTGCCCCATAAAAACGCTTCTTTCTTCTCTGTTATCCGAACTTTCCCCTGACTCACTCGAAAGATACATCACTGTCCGAGTGATAAATTTACGAATGAACATTCGTTAACCAAGTGACAACTCCTTGGAGCGTAAACAAAGAAAGCTCAACTCTTTCGCCAGCTCCTTCTGCGGAATTGAAGCTCCGATTCCTCGAGGTTTCCAATGCCTCCGTCTCCGATTTTTAACGACCCTTTCGCCCATTGGCTCGAAATTGCGGAGTGCGCAGTTCCATTTTCATAACTCATGTCCGAAATGTCGGTAGCGTGCCTTTGCCGGATGATTTATGACCCCGGCGGGTTAATAGAATTTACTTGAACCCAATTTGCCAGCCAGCAGAGTCCAAAAAGCGCAGAATGCAGCGGCCAAAAAAAAGGGAGGGCCATTACAACAGCACTTTCGGCTTTTACTTCCATTTCCATTTCCATTCAGCTCTTTTTTATTCGATTGAGCCACGCCATTGCGTTCTGGCGGGGATTGAGCAACCATTCCGGGGTTGGAAACCGACTTCAAGGGGAAAAGGAGAAGGGGGAAGGGGGAGCGGATCGGATCGAATCGAATCGCACCCCTTCTGCTGGCTATAATTAAAACTATGGCGCACGCCTTTGTTGCCGCTGTGGCGTTTAATTTCCAAAGAGTTCTTCGCCTTATCAGAGGAACATCTAAACAAAATGGGTGGAAAGAATAAAAACAAAAAATATAGAAAAAATGCTATAATTATGACAAAACAAGAGCAGCGTGCTACAATATATAAATTAAATTCCATAGCGTCATTCCGGTCGCAGATCGGCGATACTGTCAACTGGCCAAGAACACTTGTGTCTGGGTTAGATAACTTTGGTGTTTTTGGTGTGTGTTTTTCTGGGTGCCTTTGGTTTGCTTTTGGCTTTTGGCTTGGCGCAGCACTTGAAACTGCACGGATGTGCGGACAAGTTGAAGGGTGTACGATTCCCAGTGCGATACGAACTGGTCAGCAATCTCCTAAGACCCTGTCTGTTCTGCCGCCCCTAAGTCTTGCGTCTTAGGTTCATAAATTCTATTGCAAAGCACCTAAAGCTCAGCGAGGCGGTGCCATCAATTAGGGTATTAATTGCCCAGCTCTGCGAAAAGGTGGCCCAAAAACAAAGCCCATGAGTCAGTTCAGTCCGTTTGAATAGGATTCCTAGGTAGCCAAACTCCTCCCACTCCACTCGCCTTAATCTCCTGTAATGTTGAATTCGTGTTGCGATCGAAACTGGCATTGCCGTCAGGTTTTTGAGTGATTAATCACTGCCAAGATATTTCGCGACACGCAGCAGCAGCTACTATTAGATACTTTTTGTCTGCCGGTTTTGCTCTTAAGATTTGCCCATGATTTATGCGCCACATGAGCTGCAACAATTAAAGTTATCGCACCCAGCGATTTCCATTCATGTAGAAGTCGCTGGTAATTGTGGTATTATATAGTAAGCAACTCGATCCACTCGGCGCTGTGCATGTTAATGGCCGTCATATATCTGCTTGTTTTATGACTTTAACTATAAACAATTTATGATTTGCCCGGCCAGCTTGGCGGGGTGTCCAAGATATGTGGCCAACTACCAGATTGCTCCTCTTCAAAGGAGAGAAAGCTGCGAGCTCGGATGTTGCGTTTTAAGTATAAGTGGGAAAGCCCACCGATTTATCACAGTACTTTACAGATTAATACAGATTTATTCAGAGAAATTTAAGGCAGTTGAAGACGGTAAAAGTATAGTACAAGAGAAAATGTAAAGAGATTTAATTATGGGACTCAAAAATTTGTTTGACTTTTAATAAATTTTGAGTATATTTCAGGAATATATTGTTGAAATGAGTGTCACTTTTTACTCAAAGAGGTTTCAAGGTTTCCTAACATACATTTTTACAGGTAGAAAATTATATATATTAGTCGATTCAATCCTATAATTTTATTCTTTAATTGTAGAATGGTGAGGGTTCCGAAAAGCAAACGAATTGGAAAATAAAGTGGTAAACAGTGTGATAAATAAGATCTTGACTTGGTGTTTTTTTTTTTGGTTTCTCAAAATATATTGATACAAATCAATGGCAAAACTTATTGAACTTTAATCATTAAGTTTTTAACATTTAACTTTTTTTTGACTGCAATGTATGCCTAATGAATGGTTTGCAAATGTATCAGATTTCTGATCGAGCACTCCACTCAAACGAGCACTTCAAACTCAATCTCTTGATGGCTGGTGGCATTTCAGAGGTGTTGCCGTATATTGGCAGCACCTGATCCTCGACCACGTGTGCTCCTGCTTTCCCCACTTCCCCTCCCCGTCGATATTCATTAGTTGCCACACTCGAGAGGCGATTGTGAAGTGGGGAAGTGGAACGCAGTCGAGTTGTCAAAGCGGCCCACATTCCAGTATTCAGGTATTCGAGTATTTGAGCATTGGAGCGCTCGAGCGACTGTTTGTGGGGTCATATAAGGCTTGGAACGGCAAAAGGCCCCGAAGGCACAGACCCATCCATCCCAGACCCAATTTCCACTCGCTGTGTTGACGTTGACTAACGCCGGTCGTGTTTATTAGTTTGCCAGAAAAGTGTTTTATGAGTGCAATTAGAAAATGCGCTAGACTAAATTGCACAATTGACAAATGGTTGCGGGGTTGTCGGGGATGTGGAGCTGGAGGTGGGGTTCTGTGGGGTTTTTGGGGCCAGAATCAAATGTGGGGCTGGCTGAATTGTGCCGGCTGTTGACGCCACTCTTCGTGGTAACGTCGACTTCCACTTCGAATCCACATCGGATCCGAGCACGCAGGCGCAATTTGTATCTCACGGATACTTATCGCACCCGAACGCACCAACATTCGCGCAATATCTTATCGCACCTGCGATAAGATAACCAACACCAGGTTATGTATTACAGATACGCGGCTGGAATAAATCATAACGCTGGGCACACGGACAGGATCGCGCACCCACACAGGTGTGGGTCCGCCCAACCGCAGAGGTGCTGTGTGTGTGTGTGTGCGAGTGTGCGAGTGTTTGTGTGGGTAGCTAATTGGGCGGCAAACGCGCGGCAGGCACCGCATTGCGTCGCCGTCGTTGTTGTCATCGCAAGTGAGGTGGTGCTCACAGCTCAGAACAGAGTTGGTCTCGAAAACTGAAAAATAGCACTTCGTATCACTGCCAACCGCCAAAGGTTGCTACACGGATGAAAGAACCCACGACCACAATTCTCCCCGGCATTTCACATTCTGCGCGCCACTTTTCGGGCCGCCAAAATCCGTTGAAGAGCTGGTAGAGTAGTGCCCCCACACACCAAACACCTGGACACGCCGTGCTAGTGATAACTTTTTAAGAAACAACGAAAAAAACGGTGCAAGTGATAAAAAACCAAACTTAGATAAAACGCCGGAACAAAACCAAAGAAGCGCCGCGGGTAATTCAATTTGATGGTCTGCAAAACTATCTCGACGAGTCTGAAAATGCAGCTGAAGGTGGGTTGAACACAAATCTAAAACTTCAGAACTAAAGAAAAAAAAATATTTAGGAAATTTCCAGTGTACAAAAACATAAATGGCATAGCTAAAATAAAAATTAAATCAACTTAGAAAAGTAGAATTAAAACAGTTTCTATTAGCTAACATAGAAAACTGTACTTTATGATCAATTAAACTATTAACAAATTGAGTTGAACTGGTAAACAGTTTGGTTTTTTTTAGCTTTTCTAATATTTAAAATTTTTAAAAATTCCAAAATCAATATAATTATACGATCTCAAAATCACAATGTGAATTAGCTAATTTACAAAATTAAGCAACAAAATGTGAAGTAGTTTAAAGGCATTTAAATACCTTTTTGCCGCTCAATTTATGGGATCTCTATAAGCCTATCTATCATTTCAACTTTGTTGAAAAGACAAGATCATAAAAACTTATTTTACGTTTTCTCACACAAGTTCATTAAGCTAAATAGACAAGCCATATATAGTAGGGCCATAAAAGCAGGCTCTTAAAGTTTATAGATCAGCGGCAAAAGGCAAATAAATATTAATTTATTAATTAATGGTGTATAAAGAGCTCTCAATGGAGTCTACAGATTTAAAAAGGCTTTATGAAACCACATCCTTTAAAGTACCGAATGAGGAACAGATTTTCAGCCAGTAAACAGCAGCGAAGTGGATAGTTTTTTAGTTCTAGCGCCGGAGAATGAGATAAGACAAATTGATTTATAATGAATGAGTCATCTGGGATGCAGCGGCAAAACTGCGACACTTATTTTTGTGTCCGCCCTAAAAAGAAAAACCGAAACCATTAAGAAAACGAGAATGGGAACGAAAACGAGGCAAAGCAAGTTAAATGTGGAAAGATGGCTAATCTTTATGAGGCCCAAAAAAATTCAGCTGCGATCGAAGGTGGCGTCAAAATACCTTTGACAAAAATACAATTTGAAACACGCTAGCCGACTTCGATTGCGACGGCCAGTTGCTTCATTCATGAAAAAAACGAGTCCTTTTTTGTTATCCGTTGGGCAGGGATAATGTGAAATTTATGTCAATCTTATCACCTCACTTTGGTCCTGGTTCAGGACTTGGTTCTGGTCCTTATCCCTGACTCGAGCCTATCCTTTTGGGGTTGGGGTGGTTTTAATCATGAATGGAGTGCCGATTAGGCCAAGGGTTGGTCCTTCTGGGGGTTACTTTTTCCCGGCCGGAAGTTGCCGGTCGGCCAGTGGAAAGCCAGCCCGTTAACAGTTGCTCAATGGCGGCATCGATAGCTGCACTTCCAGATACTTTTCCAGTTGCAGATACTTTTATTAGACACGCGTCGCCAGTTGACAGTTGATGGCTGATAGGAGGTTCCCGAGGGCAGCGATTGATGGCCCTTTAATAGAGCCGTAAATGCAGCTGGCAGCCGAAGGGCTTATCTCACTTTCATTAGCCAACTGCAATGGACTTTAATTAATCGGGGGGATCTTCGAGCGATGGGAAGATAGAAGGAGTAAAAAGACCGTTGACGTTAAATGAAATGGGTTCTTCATTAACCAAGAAAAAAGAGCTAAGTAGGATCATAAACCTAATTGTTTTATAAAACCCAATGCCTTTAGTTCTTTACGAGATATGCATAACAAAAAAAGTTAAAATATAAAATTTAGTTGATCACCTTTGTTTCCATCTTGAAAGTAATATAAAAAGAGGGTTATACTATACTATACTATACTATGCTTATTCAAGCCTTCTTTAATTTCTGATCTAAACTAAAAATGTTCCTATAAATACCTTTAATCAATTATTTTAAATTTAATCCCCAAAGTATAATCCCAAAATAAAACATGTTGATTAAAAGACATTCACAGGTGTATCCTCATTTTGTGTAGAAACCAATTTTAACATTAACAACCTTTTAGTTTCATAAAATCTTTTAACTTGTAATACATATTTTTTTTTAATTGATGAGCTAATACATATATTACTTCTTTAAACCTATAAATATGTGCTATATTAACGCGTTGGGACAGAGCTGCCTTCGAGATTTCCTCAACCACAAACCCAAGCTCAACGAAAGCGAAATGAGGTGCGATTACATATAGCCAATATCTTTTGTTTATATAGATAAAGTGGGGGAATATGTGTGCGTGTGTGGCTGTGGGTGTGACTGGGCAGATTTCATTCATAACTTGCAGCACTCCCTCGCAAAAGGTCTTGACTAAGCCGAGCAAATAGCACATGCCATTCTCCCCACAAAGTGACAAACAAAACGAAACGAAGGCACAACTCTTGCCCAACTTGCGAGTATTGTAATTCTCGGATTTATCTGTACCTATTGATGACGTAGGTGCTCGGTGGGTTGGTTGGTTGGCGGGGGATACCTTCCCAGCCAGCAACCATGACCTCTCAGTCGCGATTCCCTCGCAGCAGCAGCAGCAGCAACTGATTATGTACATTGATAGCGACCGGATAAGATATTGTCCGTATCGTTCGGCCGTAGTATCTTAACTTTTTGCGGTTAACGGTACATGGCACGTGCATACGGGGGCATACCTACCCCTATCGTACCACCATACATACTATATAGTATGGTACACACACCCAAAGTCGGGTTTATCTGCAGTTGGCCAGCCGATTGTCAAAGTGACGTTTGCACCACATTATCTCGCACTCTTCCCTCCGAGGGAATTCTTTGAACTTTGGCCAAGACGTCGAGTTCGGTGGAATGGCACCGAACCACTTTTCAAGGAAGCACCTCCTCTTCTTTGTACTTGGTAACGAGGTGCTTTTTCACTTTTATGACCTGCTAACTCATCCACAAGTTAGGTGAATCACGGTTGGCCTTAGCAAGTATCCACAAATTAAATGTATCAATCATTTCTGGCAAGTCAGCAAAGAGTTCCAAGTAAAATGAATCAATAATAATTTAAAGGAAGGTAAATAAATATTTTGGGTTGGCTTTAAAGGGTGCTTTATAAAGAGGGATTTTAGAAGCGTTATTCCTACTAACATTTTAGTAAATTTAGAATTCCAATAATAATGTTATCTTAGTTAGAAATTATTTTAAAGTGCTGTAGGAACTCTTCCTATTTTTAGCCAATTAATATGGTCAGAGTCTAGGGACAATATTTCAATTAAAACAACAATTAAATAACTAAAATTAAATAACTTTGTTTTGCACCTTTGGTTAAATTTTATCCAAACTTAGAATATACATTATGTAGAGATCATATAGAGTTGAAGAGTTCCAAAAGGAATTGGAATAATATAAATTCTCTAAAATGACAATACTTTGCAATTAACAAATCAGTAAAATTGAACTATATTTACTCAATTTATTTTGATGATATAGACAATATTTCTATGTTTTTTCTGTTATCTTGGCAATACCAACTGGCCTGCCATCCTTGAATATTGCCTTGGATTTTCCCAGACGAGTGTGTATTGAACACGGGTTGCACATGGGCATACACACTATATATGTACATATAGGTATACTCGTATATAGGTTTATTTATAGCCGTAGTAAAGGTGAAGCCCACCTGAAAGCCCGCGATCTATATGACACTTGTCAAGAGCAACCTGGCGGCAAATTCCAACTGGGCCTCATGTTGAATGGTGAATGGTGAATCAGGTGACAGTGACGATCGAATGTGTTGACACAAGTTCGAGGATGGGGATGGGATGGAGGTGCCACCCCCAACGGAATGAGGTCATAAACCCAAACCCACTGACGTTTGTGGCGGGGAAAGCAAAACGTTTTTATGGCCAGCTTTAATTTCCGCCAAAAAAACATGAGAAAAAACCCCGAATACACAACCAAAATGAAAACGAAACCAAGACAACGCATTGAGTTTGGGGTTCTGTGAGTAAATACTTCTTCTGGTGGAAATGAAACGGAATAAAAGTGAAAAATGTGTTCGACAATGTTGACACTGAGCGGTAGAAAGGAGAGGGGTTTCTTCTTGAAGACCGTCTCCGTTCCAACGTTTCTCCGTTTCTGGTACTTTATGGTTGTTGTAGGCGACAAATTGAGCTGTGAGTCGCAAGTTGCGACTTGCGAGAGCGGTCGGCCCTTTTGAAGTCCGACTCAGTGGTTTTAGCCCGGGTTTATTTGTTGTTTTTTCTGTGGCGGAAATCGAGGCGGGCAGTTCGCACTGCCTGGCCGGAACTGGAGCCACACTTTTGAGGCGGCAGGGCGAACTAGAGTGAAGCATTCAACACTTGTCGCTTGCTCATTGCAGATGGAACAGCAGACGACGCAGCAGCAGCAACAATTGCAACAGCAGCAGCAGCAACAGCAGCAACAGCAACTGACCAAGCAGCAGCTCCAACTGCTGGACAAGATCAAGCTCGAGTCCAGCAACGGAACTGCAGAGCAGTTGTCCCAGCAAACGGCCAGCAATCTGGAGGAGCAACAGGAGCAGCAACAGCAACAGCAGCAACAGCAGCAGCAGCAGCAACCTGCCACATCGGTGGGCGTGGTGGTGCAGACCAGCCAGGCGGGCGTCAGCGAACCCGAGGAGCAGTACGTGGTGGTGCCGCGCATCCAGCGCCGCATCCTCACCACAGCGGGCACACTGTGAGTACAACGAATAAAGTATCTTTAAGATAGATCTCAGCTCAGTAGTGTTCCTTAAAATATGTGTAAATATCCCATGAAAAAGTTAAACAAAATTAAGGGTCTTATGAGTATGGCAGGTTTGCTGTTTCACTTTACCAGTGTTTCTGTTTTATATAAAGTAGAATACTTCTAATTTTTAGTTGCAACTGTGTTGCGATTATTATTTGCAATGCAAATTTTGAATTAAACGAACTACGCAATTGCTATAATAGTCAGGTAAAATAACTCTAATTCAAAATGAATGTTAAGCTCTTATACTTTTCTTAATAATCCTTTTAAAAAATCGATTGAATAATACTCCAGTTTAACATAATTTATCAACGTATAGTTGTAATATATATAATCCGTGATCAGGGAGTTAAAATACAGTAAATATGATAACAACAATAAACTAAGAATAAAGTGACAGTTTAAATTGTATTTATTTATTGTAACTATTTTCCTCCTAAATACTATATTAACGTTCATATATTTATATTATTTTCGTAGTGAACTAAACGAAGCTCGTGAGGGAGAGCCGAGTACGAACGCCAGCAGCGCCAGCTCCGGATCCGCTCCGGACAGCCACATCGAGTACCAGCAGCGGAGTGCGCACCACTCGCCGGGAGCCACCCACTACGTGCAGATGGCGCCGCGCACCGCGGAGGTGGCGGAGCAGGTGGCAACCGCCGCCGGAGGAGCTCCACCTGGCACCATCTACGCCTATCCCTCGGGACAGATCATCTGCAGTGGCGAGGATGTGGCCATCAAGATCGAGACCATCGAGAAGGGAGAGGCATCGGGAGGGGAATCCCAGCAGCAACAGCAACAGCAACAGCAGCAGCAGCAACTGCAGCAGCAACACCAGCAGCAGCAACAGCAACAGCAGCAATGTCCCACTCCGAACGGGAATGGCAGCTATGGCGAGACCATTGTGATCAGCAGCGAGGCGGATTCACTGCATCATCACCAGCAGCATCAACAACAACACCACCAACATCAGGCGGTGGCTGCAGCGGCACAAGCGGTCCACATTGCCACCAGTTCGCATGGCGGCACCGTGAGATTCGTGACGGACGATGGACGCTTCACCACCTCCGCTGGGCCGGAGAGCTCCGCCTCGAATCTGTACTACGATGCACCGGTGGTGGATGGAAGTGTCCATGCCAATGAATCGAAGACGTACGCTGATTTGGGCAACGCCTACTCCCCCTTCCCGCCCAGCTCCAGTTTCAGCAGCAACAGCTACGCGGCCACCTTGCAGCAGGGCAACACCATCTACAGTGTGCCGGGCACCGGGCAGTTCCTGGCCAAGACGGAGTCCGGGTTGAACCAGTTGCGTCAGGCGGGACCGGCCACCTTCCAGACGATCGCCTTCAACGACGGCAACAACGCCATCGAGGCTCTGTGGACCTCCAATGCTCCTCCGGAGTACCAGAATGTTCCCTTCGTAAGTAGAAAGCTCTTCTAAACCAATTCTTCAGCAGAATAGCTATATAAAATCAAACAATATCTAGAAATAGAGGCAAATCGTCTGTAAAATTCAAGAGTTTTATAAGGAGTTTAATATAAATATAATTCAAAATTATATTTTGCATTAATAGAAACGATCTTAGTACTTATCCTCTTAAAATATATTTAATGTAAAACATTATGATATTTTTGAATACATTTTAAATCACAGCAAGTCAATAGTTTTGGTTTTAAATAAATAGAGATAAAAGGCAAGAATAGTTCCAAATAAGTTTATTGTTTAATAGCAGACTTTTGATTATTTATAATACGCTACTAGGCTCTACTGTTGATAATATAGTATTTGAATTATTGTGAAACGAATTGTTAATGCTTAATAATATATAATATGTTAGCTCAGTATTCAGCAATGCATTATGTTCTTTTCTCCAACTAATCCTTGTCTCTTTTTCTTCCACAGGGCAACTTCCACCCGCAGGTGATCGACGAGTACCCCAACGGGAACATGACCACCACCCACTGGTCTCCAGCGGCGAGCATCGCCCAGTACGACGGCAGTTTGGTGACAGCCTCCTCCACGTCGTCGCCGGGACACGAGCTCAAGTGCGAGAACTGCCACTCCCCGTTGATGCGGAAGGGGGCGGAGTACTTCTGCACCAACTGCCCACCGTTTATGCGGATGGCGCCACGCATGCCTCCTCGGCAGTCGAAGCCCAAGGCCGCCGCCGCCCCCAACAACCGGCGAAATGGAGTCACCTGCGCCAACTGCCAGACCAACTCGACAACCCTGTGGCGGCGCAACAACGAGGGCAACCCTGTGTGCAACGCCTGCGGACTCTACTACAAGCTCCACAACATGAACCGTCCACTTTCGATGAAGAAGGAGGGCATCCAGAAGCGAAAGCGCAAGCCCAAGAACAACGGAGGAGCGCCAATGCACCGAGCTCCGCTGCCAAGTAAGTATTACTATAACGACCTATATGGTATATAGGAAAACAAAACCAGAATGTAGTAAATTGGATTGGACCATTAGTTGAGGTTCAAAAAGCTAACTATAATATGTACCTTAAACATATTATGTTGCTAATATTTTGTTCTAAAGAACACGATTCCTACTACTTTATACATAATTCAAAAAGGAAGCTGCCATTGAGGGATAACTTAACCTTGAATCCTTAAAACTAAAAGAGAAAAATGATTTTGATGGCTTAATATATATCAAAGATAGATGATCTTAAGAATAGGATATTTATCACTTTGTACAAACTTCGAATGGTAAGCTGCCAATAAGAGATAAAAGTAACGTAACCTTGCATCCTTAAAACGAAAAAAGCAATATTGATTTTGCTTACCCTACTATATATCTATACATTTATGATATAATAAGCTCTGGACTAATTCCAACTCTTGGCTTGTTCCCATTTCCACCCGCAGGCATGTCCCAAGGCGTGAACCTGATGGCCAACAGTCCGCTGTATCCCTCGCAAGTGCCGGTGAGCATGCTGAACAGCCAGCAGAACGCCAGTCCGGAGCTGCACGACATGTCGACGACGGGACCGGCGGGGGTGCCCCGAGTGGTGGCCATACCGCTGAGTGCGACGGTGCCGCCCACCTCCGACGGAACGCTCAACATGTCCGCTCGCCACCACGTGACCAGTGAGAGCCACTCGCCCTACAGTCAGCAGTCCACTCCGCAAAGTCAGTCGCCACATCTGCCCAGTTCGGTGGCCATTAACCGCCAGATAGTTCAACCGTGAGTTTAAAATCCCTCCCTCTTTATTGAATCTTTTAAATAATGGTATATTATATCTGTTTCTGTAGAGTACCCACGATCGAAAGCGGTCGCAGTTCGAACAGCGAACTCACACCCAGCGTCATCACACGCACTGGTCTGCCAGAGCGATCATCGAATAACTAAGCTAATCCTAACTTAAATACGAACTAAAGTAATCTAAACCTAACCTAACCAAATTGTCAAGATTGCCAAAATATTTATTTAAGATTTAGTAGTATGATATATAGTGCCAAGACCAAATGTCCCAGTTAGAGGAAGACTTGCAAAGTTTCCGCATTTCGAGTGACGTCTTCCTCGCTTTTTAGTCAACTGCTTGCCGCAAATAGTTTGAAATGATTTGTGCCAACCACTTAGGATCACTTTAGATCACTAGTTTAGCAAAAACTTAAACAAAAAAAAAAAAAGAAAGGAGAAAAAGGAACAGCACAAGCCCATAAAGAAGTCTACGATTTTGTATGTTTAAGCCTCTCTTTTAATCCAACAAAATAAATAAGTTGTAAACGCAAGACACTCTTGGCTTTGATGGCTCTACCAGGATGAGTGGGCTCCAGCTCGTTATATTTCATTGTCAACAATTTGGCAGCCAACCAAATTGATCCAAATTAATTTTAATGACCCCCACGGACCACAGAGCGAGACCATAAAATCTTAACAAGGCGAAGAGCAGAAAGGCTTTTGGGTTGGGGAAAAGGATCGCTTCGGTTCGGATCGGATTGGAAGTGGAATTGGAATTGGAATTGGAAGAGGGAAGGGACAGGGACAGGGAAGTGGGGAAGCTGGAGGAGCAGTGTCTAAATAGCGATTTGGTGTCATCGCTTAAAAGCCTGTCCAACGCACAACGCCGCCGCCGAGTAACGCCACCGCCCGAAGCCGCTCTCTTTGATCTCCAGTTGGCGGTACGGACCGCTTTGGTTCAGTACGGTACGGTATGGCATGGTATATGGTATATGGTATAGTATTGGTATGGTATCGTATGGTATAATATGGTATGGTATGGCAAAAATGCCCCAAGACCAGTGCAAACGAAGGAGGCATAATATTAACGCCTTGCTCTGGGGGTCTCCTCCGTTTTTCGCCTTTGTCCGAAGCGTTCTTTTTTTTTGTTTTTGGTTTTCGGTTTTTTTGTTTTTGTTTTTTTGGCGTACGCTCGATCAATTAGGCAAACTTGTTTTACGACCGCTTTTATTAGCGTCCGCTCTTGGCCGGCGCTCCGAGTTAACCGAGTCCAAGAAAAAAAGCTGCGGCTCAAAAGGAGCCTCAAAGTTGTGGTTTCCACTGCGGTTGTGGTTGTGGTTGTATTGGTGGTGGCGGTGGTGGAAGTGGTGGTGTTTGTGGCTGGGACCCTGGTGCGAATGAGTAATGAGACGGCGGCCACAGCACCCGGCTGCTTTGGAATGTGTTGGCAAAAATTATGTGCAGCGTCAAGTTGTGCAAGTGGATTGGATTGGAATGGCTTCGATTGGTTTCGGAATGAAATGGTCGCGAGTGGTGGAGTGATATTTTTGATAGGGATATAATAGGAAAAACATTTATGGGTTTATATTTAATTAAAGCTTACTTAAATGTGGGGATACTTAAAAATCACATATAATTGATTAAACCTTAGTAACTCCTAAGAATGTTTTAAATATCATCAACTAATTCTAAAATATCAATCTTCCATGGAAATATCATTGGTTGTCAGTTGAACAAAACAGGGTCTCATCCCCACAAAAAATAAATATAATATAAGATGCCGTATTCACGTTAACTGTAATAATATTATATCGTTATTGTTTTTTTTTGTATTTAACCAAAAATTTATGTTCAATTGAAATCTGAAATCAATAGTTTTTAATATTAGCTATAGTCCAGCTGCTGTCCAAATCATTTGTTTTCAAGCTTAAAAAAAGGGAATGTTGACCCCAGTATTTTAAAGTTCGTGTATCGCTTTTCCATCGCAAAGTAATGGGTTGCATTTAGCCAACTTTCAGCGGCCCTTCCCACGAATATCCTCACTGCAAAAGAGCTGCTACTGCATACGCTTTTTAATTAGCCCCGTCAGACACATAAAGTATATCGGAATCGCAATTGTATTTATGCTTTAATAACTCGGCAATCCATAATAAGCGAGCCACTAATTGCTGCCGCACCTGTGGCCAGTGGAGGCACATCCTCTGCGGCAGCGAATTAAAACATTAGCGGCCAACCTGTTCCATTTCCCATTTCCTCGGCGGAGTGTGGAGTGCGGATTGCTGGGGGGATTGGCGAGACCGTAAAATAATAATTCAATGTGACAGGCAACAAGATACGACAGCGGGCGCCATTTTTCAGATGCCACCTTGCCCCGCTTCCCCACTTCCCCCTCCTTCCCCTCCTCCGATCTCCTGGCACACTTACTATACTTGCGCTATTGCAAGTTGCAACGCTCTCTGACATTATCGCTGGAATTATGACAGACGTACAACGGCGCAAGAAATGAGGGACTTGCCTCGACTGGTGGAAAGGGGGGAAGGGGGTTGGAGGGGAAATTGGCGGAGAGTGAAGGGAAGGGGGAAAAGCGATCCGCTAATCTCCGGAGCCTTGCATGCATTTGAATTTCTATTAAGTTAATTGCAATTGGCCAAGGCGAACGCGCATTTGCTCATGTCCAATAACAGTTAAGTAACGATTGTTGCCACACAGAAAAAAATAAATAAAGTATGACATATAGTTGATTCCATATTAATTCAATTGTTTGAATTTTCATTAGCTGCATAATTTATTATTTAAAGCGGGAATGTTATTTTTGTTATCTGTAAGATTTGTACATTTTTGCTATGCAGAATCTATTTTTAATAGGTTATGCTAAAAATAAATATAAGTGTATGTTGAGTGTATATTTATTTAAAAATTATTCCCATATCAAAGCAACATGTGCTATTATTTTTCCCGTGCAGATACGATGCAGATAGAAAAGATAGAGTGGCAGGGTCATCCAGAGGGGGCATAAAAGCCAACATAAAGTCAAAACTGTCAACTCCCCCACTCCCCGCACATTTAATTAGCTCGGCGTTGACCACCTAGCACGGCGGCCTCTTGAACCCGCCTCGAACTGGATCCCGATACCCATACCGATTCCGATTCCGATTCGGAGTCAGAGCCCGAAAACCCTAAACCGGGTTTCGAGGCGCCACTTAGCCAACTTCAAAGTGCGGCCGCGCAGGCGCGGGTTGCTCTCCTCTGGGCTGCAAGCTACCATCATCATCGTCAGCGTCATTTTCATGGCTGGCATTACAAATCGACAAACGACACGAAAATGCGCTTTAACAACGCGCAGTTAAAATAGATAAAAGCCGATAGTCGGACGCCGCCAGCCAACTGCAAGTTCGTTTTTGGGTTGCATTAGGGAAGAAGAGGGGAATGAGGGGAGTAACCCTTAGATCGGGAACGAATGGGAGTATCATTTGTTTTGGCCAAAGCTTGGGCGATCCAAAACAGGCAGATTATACTAAAAAATGGTTTCTATTAGTTACCTATATTTTAAAGCTCTCTAAGCATTTTGAGTAGATTAATTCGACTTGGAGTAAAATATGATATGATATCTAAAAGTAACTTTTTTATCTACCAGTATAATAAGTCAGGGGTAACTAAACTTTGTCCTTTAAATATTTATAGGTTTTAGTTTCTAGTAAAATATATTTTTTAAATCCAAAATTCGAAGTTTCAATATATAACTCAATATATAAAAATATTTTAATATGTGTGTTTTTCATTTCCTAGCAATTGTTTACTTTCTCCTTGAAATCCTTATTCCTGAAATAAAAGTTTTTCTTCTAAATACTCTTTTTCCCCATCACAACAGAAGACACACCCAGAGATTCAGTGACGTCACGAGAGCAACGGCAGAAGCATCGGCTTAACCGCTTCGAGTTTCGAGTTCTAGGAAAAAATATCGAAATTCCAAGAATTCACACGAAAGACAAAATGCGATTGCCTTGGAAGAGAACAGAGAGCAGAGCGGCAGAGGAAGGGGACCGGGATCGGAATCGAGTATGGGATATGGATATGGGCACTGGAATGGGCATGGGGGATATGGGTTAAGGTAAGGTATTCCCTTGTCGCTCGGCTCTTATCACAACTCACGCGCGTCTCGTTCCATTTCGGTTTTGGGCCCGAACCCGAAATCACATTATCTCCGCTCTCCGCTGCGAGATGGCGACGCAGCTAATGGATACGCCGCAGTCACAGATACATATATATGTATATATATACATATAGTATAAGGTATAACATATCACAGATGATGATGATGATGATGATGGGCCTCTCTCGCTGTCTCTTTCTGCAGACGCCGCCTGGAAGAAGATTGAAGATGCGGCGCTTATCGAGGAGAAAAGCAGAGAACGAAAAGATGAGGACCGAAAAGAGTTCAGGATAGGAGTTGCACACAGTCCCATCTCCTCCGCATATTTCTGTGTCGTTCCTTATCGCCCGAGCTGCAGACTTTGCCTGCCCCTTTCCCATCTCCTCCTTCTCCTCCTCTTCCTCTTTTGGATTGCATGGCCATCGCATTTGCATCACGGAATGCAACCTGGGCGAAATGAGATGGGGCAAGAGCCCTCGAATGGTTGGATGGTCGGGTTGCTCGGAAACCTGGCGCCAAAGGAAGCGTTGAAAATGGTACTTGATCTCAATCGCGATGACTCCTCGCTGGCGACTGTAATTTAGACGGCGCCTCCGATCCTTGTTTCACACTAATGCACTTGCAGCTTTTAAATGTCACCAGGGGCACTCCTCCAGTCCGATCGAGATCACGATCCGCTGCCCAGCTAGGCCACTTTGTGATCTTGTAATCCCCCTCGGGTCTTAGCCCCCTTTTTTACTTGGCCTTACTCGATTGCATCGAAGGAGCGAGTTGGTCGTGTGTATTCAATTGGAATAATTAGTGATATCAGTTGGGGTTTTGTTTGTGGTGGGAAGCGATTTCTTTCGAACGATTGCTGTGCAGTACATTTAATTGTAAAAACTAATAAGCCTTTTAGCTTGTAATATTCTAAATATTTAAAGTTCTAGTATATAAAGTCTCTACTTTTAAATATCTAATTTATAAGCCTTGCAGAAACCTTTAATTAAATATATATACAAAACTGATAATATAAAACAATGGTTTACAGCCTCATACAAATCTTTGATATGGTATTTATGTACAATTTAAGTAAACATATATGTTACTTATGATCAACATGCAATAATCATACAAATTCTTTGCTAAAATGTCACCAGTGATTAGTCATTAAAGTATCATCAGTATCATTAAAGCAAAATAAGCCGATATTTCAATTAGTCAGCCATTTCTTCGGCGTCATTATGTTAGGATCCGTCACCGAGGCGATGCTTTAATAAGCGATAAACTTTACGACCCATTGCAGCCTTAACAACTTTGTTGGCAGGCGCCACCTCAAACGCAAATTTAAAGTGGGAAAGAGCTATTGGAGATATTGGCCATAACAATTACAATGTATGGCACCCACTTACGGCCAGCATCGCTCATATCGAAACTGGGCAGCGAATCTATGACTGGCATCCTCTTCAATTAAGCGCCTGCGAAAATCCTTCAGGGCTTTTCATTACTTTATCGAAGCAACGAGGATGGGGAAAATATTTCAAATGTTGCCCAGAAAGTGGTCCCAACCAGTTGCAATTAAAGGTTTCTTGGGGCAATCCCTTGGAGCCACGAAGAAACTGGCGCCGCTTTCGTGGACCCTTCAACGTGAGAAAATTCCGCTCGGAATTATATAGGCAAAATGTCTCGTTATCGAGCGCCAGCATACCTGAACAAAAATGTATGTGCGTATGCTTGAGATAGTGGCAAGAAACCCCGGCCACGGCCAACAAAAAGCGTAAATGTCAAAATGCCAAAATTAATTGCAATGGCAGTGCTGTGGATAAGAGGCCACAAGGAGGCAAAAGAGCCAGAGGCCCGGCCTTTCTGCCACCTCAAGGAGTTGCAGTCGAAGTCAAAGTCGAAAGCGAAGTCGAAGTCAGAGTCCGCAAAAGACTTGGCCATAAGCCACAGCCCACTTTTTGGGCGCCACAAAGAGGCCCATGGAACTGGAAGGAGGTCAAGGGTGGAGTTGAGAAAGGTTTAAGGGGATTATATAAAATTATAAACTAAAGATTCTGAGTTTTTTTTACTGAATTAATATGTAATAATTGACACCATTTAAGAGTTCATTTCTTTGTTTCTGCAGCACATTTAATTGATAGACAAATGTATTGATTTTATAAAACAGATTCATCAAAAGCATATAAAAATATCAACATGCTTAATGTTTTAAATCAATAAAAAGCTCCTCTGAATATAAGCTTTTAGGATTTAAGATGTAAAATTAAAATTATTTATTACTTGGTTTGTTTAAACATTTATTTGGTTTTAAGGGTTAACAAAAAATTATACCCTTTTCGAGGCGCCTCTGCTGTTGGCCTGCAGTTCTTCCTTGGCCACCATTACAAATTCTACCACTTTTGACCCTGCTGCGACGGCCGGGCGGCTTCTGCCCCGGCCCACGGCAATCTGGGCACCTCGGCCACTCCCCAGAAACTCCGAAGCCACAATCGAAACCAGACGCGGGGGCTTCGAATCCCCCAATCCCCCTCTCCACATTCAGATGGCCAGGAGCGGGGCTTTGGTGGTTGTCATGGTTGTCGCGGTGGGGCTATCACGCCTGGAAATCAGCAGGACGCCACTGCAGGCCGACGGGGCGACTTGCAACGGAAACCCGTTTCGGGTGCCACACAATGCTGGTCCCCATTTTTAAGGTGGAGTCACCGATGAGGCAGCATTCTGCGATTGGTCGGTCGACTGGAGCCCCTTTTGGGAGTGTTGTTTTTGTTGTTGTATTGTATCTCCTGCTGTTTGTTACCAAAGTTTTTGTCCCCTTCTCCCCCACTTTTTCGTCTGGCTTTCATTAAAGCTTCGCATAAATTTTGTTGCATGTTTGCGGCGCTTCGTGTCCATGTGTCCGTGCGGAGCGAGTCCGTCCAAATATCGCACGGCTACACGCGTTTCAGGTCCAATTCATTTGCAGCTCGCTTTTCCATTTCCCCCCTTTTTGGTGGAAAACTGGTAGAGGCTAGAGGCAAACGCATTTCGTGTCTCTGTCTGCGTTTTTCTTTATGATTTGGCCTGCTCGTATTTTGGCAGTTCCTATAAATAATTGAACTTTATCGTCTGCCTGCCCGCTTGCCATTTAATAAATTTAATTTGTGGTAATTGAACAACACGCTTCGGCAAGACTTAAACACGAAATTGGGGAGCGAGAAGCTTATCGAGCTGTCGCCGCCTGAAATTCCAATTGAAACTGCCCATTTTTCAGTGCTGACGAGTAATTAGTAAGACAAAAAATATCTTTATAAGGGTTTTTTTTTTTTTGGAAATGTGTCATTTGACAATCTCTTTAACATAATAAAAAAGATTCTTCACATGAGTCTTCATGGCGTGGATAAATGCCCCAAACATATCTTTTCAGATTACTCATTTATTATATGAATCATAATTTTAAACTTTTTCTTAAAGATAATATATTTTTTAATCATACCAGCACTGCCTTTTTGAAAGGCATGTATATGCGTCAACTAGTATTAAAAATGCTAAAATCAATCAAAATTTATATAAATGTTTTCAACTTATATCAAGTTTCTTTGTTGGATACAATAAGTTTAAAAAAAAAAAACTTAAAAATTTTATTTTTAGTTTCCAAGTTGGTGATAAGAAAATTAAATATTGAAGCGCCTACTAAGAGGCAAGAAAATATTTTTGTATACTCAAGTCTAGGCGATTAACAGAAGCAAATGTTGAAAAAATTCTAAACTTCTAAGATGTTTCTTAATATTTTTTTGGGCTGGTGAGTTTAACTGTTTAAACCTTAAGCAATTCAAGTGGCTTCACAATAGACGAATTATTTTCTCACTGAAAATCTTTTACTGCGCCAGCAATTAAAATTTATGCATCGAAACTAGCATTAACAGATTGCCTTATCTGCATTATGACAAATGAATGGCACAACTAATTTGTAAATCAAAAAGAATTTGTTTATTCTCACCTCTAAAGTTCGTTCCGATTGAATGTATGTAAATGGCATCAACTTAATGAAGACATTATCAGATAAATAAATCACAAGTGGGCGTTAAAGTTATAAATTGCAGGCCAGTACTAGAACGGGTATATAAGTAAGTGTATTTATTACATAGCCATTAATTGCGATGGGAGAAGAGTTATGAATGTGCCAATTAAAGAGCACATAAAGTTTGGATTTTACCTGCGGAAAAAAGAGCCTTGTCGTTATAGCTTTGATATTTGTAATTTATTTCTTTTATTAGCGCATATAATGGCTTTTAAATGGCGAAGGAGAGACATTGCGCATACGCCGCGTGAGCCAGCGCTAAAGTGGGCTGTCCCCAGAGAGTCGCCCCCTATCTCTTTCTCTCTCCCACTTTCCTGCTGACACACACCAATATCTAAACAGCAAATCAAGAAAACTTTTAATATGGCCACATTTCGATTAAGAAAGAGAGCGAGCAAACAGGATGGGCTATTAGGCGCGTAAGAGAGAGATCGCGATAGCAAGGCAACACCCACTTTTATATCGATAGCGACTGTTTGCGTGCGTGTGTGGGAAACCCGTTTGTTTGCCCGCGAGAGCGCTTCAGTTGCTCTCTTAGCGTACGTCCAACCGGAAGCCCAAAGGAAAACGCGCTCGCTCACTTACGCTCACTCCATCTTGTGCCGCTGTACGTGTGAGCCAGTGCTTCCCCATTCCAATCAGAACGCGCACACACACCAGCAAGTTGTACAAAACAAGGAGTCACCGTCGAATTTGAAATTCCTTGCCTTCAGTTGGATTTCGAACGTTTATGCGCGACACGCGAAACGCAGCGAACGAGGCGAGCGAAACGCGAATTTGCCGTCGCCAAAAAGCAAACAGTGATCTATAACCGAAAGCAAGTATCATCAATCAACCGAAACTGGAAAACTCACAGTTTTAATAGTCGCGTTTTGATTAATTAAACAAGTTTTCGGATGCCGCATCCATTTCATTGGCCATCTAACAGCTGCCAATATAAAAGTGTATCTGTGAGTGCTGTGATCTCCGTCTTTTTTTTCGGTACCCATCAATCTGTAAATTGCGTGTGATTTGTGGCGCTTTTGTTCAGACACCAGTATTCAAAATCAAATCAAACAGCGCACAAAACAAAAACTAACAAAACGTTCGCTGTGAAAACAATAAATGCGATTTAAAAGCAGTTCACATTTTCGTTTAACCACCCAACAAAAAGGCCATTAAGTGCCATAACTGCCAACTGGCATACGAATCTTGATTAGCATAAATCAAACAAAGCAATTGGTGAACCGCAGAGGAATCAAACGGAGGGAAAGAGACAGATATTCGCTGTTTGTCCCAAACTAAGTAAGTTGAAAGCTATATAAAAACCTTGTAGACATGCTAAAATGCATTATTTAAAATTTAAACGGTAACCATTTTCCTAAACTTATATTTTTACGGTGATTATACGATTTGTTAGCTTTATTTCACATTTATTTAATTATTAAGTGTACGTTCCCTTGCAACGAACAATATTTATCGAATTTCTGTACTATTTTTTTCAAAGTTCATAACGTAATCCAGTGGAAAAGTCAATTTATTATCATAATAGTTAAAAAAAATAATACTAAATTTGAAGAATCCTCTTTTAAGTATCACATTAACAACATTATTCTTACCTCTCCGTTCATGAACATAAAAAAATTAAGAAACTGGTTCCCAACTCCAGTGGCAACTCATTAGAGCGTTGTTAAATGCCACTCAATGATCGATTCCGATGATTGGCGAACTGCAACTCTGTGTGAAAACGGTTACAGCTTAAATTAGACATAAACAATATGATCTGTTGTATCAATTAGCTAAGCTAAAGCTCGACCACAACACAATCTTTATGGATCAACAATGAAATTAGCATCGGACTAATGTTGAACATGTAAAAACTACGTTAAGATACCGATCTATATAAACAAACTCGTTTGACGGTAATCTTTGATAACTTTGAAGGCAATCGCTTGAGATACAGCTACAGATATCCAGAAGCCGAAAGGGTGAAAGGTTCGTAAATTTGGTTCAAACGAAAAACGAATCATTTTCGATTGTGCCATTAGCAGCTCAGTGTATATCAAATTGAAATTGCCTTTGGTTTTGTGGTGTTTTTCAATAATTTAATTGAATTGTAATTTATGCGCTTGGGTTTTATATTCAGGCATTAACTGCCATAAAATATAGCAAGAAAAGCCATAAATTTCAAATCAACTTTTGAGCTGTCAAGCAATGGGGATAAGGGGTTGTCCCAGGGGAGGGTTTTGATATGAACTTGGCGTCCATTGGCAGTTGACATGAGAGCAGTTTTGTTTCGATTAGCTCCCCGTTGAAAGCCCGAATGTCAAAAATCTTTCAGGCTTCCATTTGGCTGGCCGTAATTGATGGGAGCAGCCAACCAGGTAGCAAAAGCAGCAAAGCCAGCTGAAAGCAGTTGAAAACGCCTGAAAACAGCTGAAAACTGAACTTGTTTCATGCTATTTTCAACACTTACTCGCAATGCCAGTAGTTGGCATAATTATTCGCACAATTGCACTGCAGATACATAAATTGCCGACTCGGGCCAACCCCAACAAAAGACTCCAGAACGAAACCTGGGAGAACAACGGACGGTCGTCATTAACATTCGAATTAACATTAACATTAGCTCGTATCACTATTCATTAGGGTCTCGTCTCAGTCCGGGACATGGCCGAAACTCTTTGGTAATGCACATAAATTAGAGCGAGGTGTAAGCAGCTGACAAAGAGGGAGGGCCAAAAAGGGGGGTCCGAGGAAGTGGCTTACAAAGAAGTGAAATTATTCCGCAACAATTAGGCATTTTAAATAGATTTTTGATTGCTCTCAAAGTGCTTTTATCGCCTTCTAACAAGTTGATTTAATTTGAATTCCCCGTTACCAAGTGAGAAAGTTTTTTTCTTGTAGATTTATTTATAACTCTGCACTTATAAATAATATTAAGCGAATGGTTTTATTTTTAGATACTTTTGGCAATGCGATTCGAACTGACCAGCTTTGACTTTTTTCTCCAAAGTGTTCCTAAAAACCCAGCAGTTATTTGTCGTTTGTTTTTGTTTTTATCTTTTGTTAAGATCAGTTATCCACCGGGGTTTTATCCTTGGAAATTAGTTCAAATACATAATAAAATGGCTTAATAAAAAAAAATCACGCTTTTGGAATCCTTATCTCGTTATCGACAAAAAGAAAACCTTGAACTAGAAATACTACTGCTTCTAAAATTCCAAATATCCTTGAACACCTTATCGAATTGGCAACCCTTTTATCATTATAACCTCTAGCCTTGGCCAGACCAATTAGCAGTGAAGTTATCCTGCAACCCTTTGCTACACTTTCACTTCCGAGCAGAGGCCACGGATCTGTCATCCTTCGTCAAGTCCTAACAAGTGCCACGCCATTCCTTCCATATAGCAATTAACTGCTGGCGCCACCACTAAGAGGACAACAGCAGCGGGAAGTGGAGGGCTCAATGGATGACCCAGACAGCCGAGTGGCCAGAGAATAGAGTCCCAGCGAGCCCGGCCATGTTGACAATGACACAACATGACGGCAGATTCCCGAATTCGGGAAAATATTGCAAAAAATGCCATAAAATCATTAGCTGGAGAACAGTAAAGTCCGGTCCGTAGGGGCCATAAAAGCAGGCCAAAGGCTAGCCAAACCTTTGCCCTTCTCCGCCCTCCGAGGTCGGAGGTCATGAGTCAAAGGCGCTGCGTGTGACCAGTGGCACAGGTTACATTTACAGGTTACAGGTTACATGATCCCTATGCCAGCCATCCAACCTCTGGGTTTCGTGGATGGATCTGTGTGCGTGTTTAAGCGCCTTTTAATTTATGACACTTTTATGAGACCAGCAAAACCCATAAAACTGAAATTGGCTTCAAACATCGGAGGGAAGGCCAAACAAAACTAGTTAAATGGCTCTAACTTTGTCTCCAGTTTGGCCCGATAGAATTTTTCGGGAAATTGCATCATAAATCTTAACCCAAAATGTTTAGCGAGGCCAAATCAAAGGTCATCGATGGTAAGGGTTTCCTGATTGCCAAAGGAATTTGTACATAACTAGTGCAGTAATATTTAGTTAGGTTATTTTAAATTTCAGGGAATTTAAATTCCATTTTGAATTCTTAAAAAAAAAAACAAAACCTCATGGCATTTTAAATTTGTATCTTAATTTGTATCTTATTACCAGTCACTACCAGTGTTTGATTTGTTAAATTTAGTATGATTAACTTAAAATTTTAGTTTAACATTTTTGGAAAATATTTAAGATACCTTTTTCCAACACCCTGACAACCCTGCTCGATCAACCCCCAGACTTAGCTCGCTGCGAATGCAAACTGCAACAAGCCAGCCTAATTATGCAATTTTAACACTCGCTCGCTCGCCAAGCTGACCACCGAGCGACCAACCTACACAGCACAATTCCAAGCGAACTGAACTGAACCCGTAGCCATGTCCATAACCATATTCATTCAGGTAGAGCTAGTTGAAATATTGCAGCACGCAAGTGGAAAGTGTATCGCCGGCAGGCCATGATAAATGCACTTTACCTCCAGCAGGTCAGCGGGCCAGAAACCCAGGACCCAATAGGAAGTACAGCTCTTGGGCTGGAGACCCATTGACCCAACGTCCTGGAAGTCCTGCCGTGAATTGCGAGACGGCGGCTAATTGCGTGTTAGCCAAGGACCTGGCCAGCAGATAGCAGATCCTGGCGAGGTCCTGGCACTTCTCGGTAGCCGGAAAACTGGCGTCAGCAGTCTGAGTTTCTTGCTGTGTGGGTTATGGAATATTTTTAGGTTGCTTCAGAAGGAGATATTTAAACGTTGAACAATATTCTTAAAATAAATATAATTTATTAAAAAATATTATTGCTCACTTGTTTAAGATATACAAAAATATTTTGATATTTAAATCGCAAAAGAATTTTAAATACCACATGTCGTATAAGTTTTATTCTACAGATATATTCTTATATCGCAATACGTATTAATCATTCATGGTGGCTATCATTGACTATAAGTCACCCACTGTTCTCCAATCCTTATCCGCAATATTGTTTACCAGTGGCGCAGATTAAATTGGAATCACACTGCCACATAAATCATAATTATAATTCTTAGCTGGATACAAAGAGTCGGCGCGATAAGGTTGCCATATTCAAGGCGATATCGCTATCAAGACGGGATTCTCAAATCGAGGCCGTTGGAAACCTTCGCGGAGGAGGCATAATCTCCGCACTTATCGTTGGGTCTTAGAGGAAGCTGTGTTCCACAACGATAAGTTCTGTTCGAGAAACAGATTTCGAATCCGCTAGCAGTTGGACCTTATCTCAGTATTTCTCAGGCTTTAAGTTCATTTGAGCCTCGGGACGGCGCCAATGTCTAATAAAAATAAAAACTTTCGAAAGCCCCCAAATGCACATTTTCCTTCTTCGACATTAGGTGGCCATAATTAATTAATTAAAGACTAGAAAAAATTAGGCGACATCGTTTCACAGTCAAGAGCGGCGATTAAATCTTGATTTTTCCACAGCAATTAATTCCTCGGCTTCTCTCTCTCTCTTTCTCTCGTTCTCTGTGTTTCTCTCTGATCTCACAAATGTAAATGTCACCCGGGAGAGGAAGGGAGAGGGAGAGGAGAGGGAGAAGACATAAGCCGCGCCGACGCCAAGACACTTAAAAGCTTTGGCCAGGGACCGACGGACCGCGGAATGGGGGCCCAATCAAGAGACACATTCGAGGCACATTCGAAGCACATTCCCCCGGAATCTGTCGGTCCGCGTGCCGAAAACTTGTCACTACCACTACACAGAGAAAAAATATGCTATAAAATATGACATTTTAAATAGTAGCACCTTTTAGGCTAGTTCCTTTAATGTGTAGAACATCAAGAATTAATAGCAATACTTAAATATACATTAAATAAGAAAATCTGCTGAACCCACAAACTTTTCATTAAAATTTCAAACTTATCATTCGGTAGCATTCAGCGAAACCATTCTAATAACAAATAAAATATTGCAAGCTATTTTCCTAAGTTCACTTTGTTTAACATTGTAAGTGAATCACTTGTCTTATAAAAAGTTGTGTATTTTTTTTTTACCTAATCAATTTGATTCTATGTCAAGCTGTTGTTGGTGTTCCAGTGTAGAAAACCAAAAAGGGACAGAACAAGAGGATTGGGGGAAACCTCTGTGGTATCCCAGTATCGGCAGAGATCAAAAGCCCTTCGGCAGGCTTAATTTAGACGCCATCTATGTATGCTCCACCGCAAAGGACTCTCGCCGAATCGAGTTCGTCGCT